ACGATGGCCCACCATAACGGTGAGTATAAAGATCACCGGACTCAAACTTGGCCTACTCCGTGTGCACCTAAGATCCCAGAAATTAACAGACTGTGCTTTCGGGTTAGAAGTTATAGCTTCCGATGGACCCATACATCTATTGGTTTTAGCGGTGTACTATGGAAAAGGACAAACAATTTGTTCATGTCAGATCAGTGAACAAACTCTGACCAATAAGCTTGTAACTTTATGGGAGTAATATGGCCCCTCCAAATATGGACAACCAGTTTGTAGCCACTAAGATTTCTTAAAATTCTTAATTTCTATTTAAAGAATAAGAATTCTAAAGCATAGGAATGTTTCTAAGAAATGGTACCACATGTACTTTGCTATGGTAGTGTTATAAACTCCACCCAGCTGCCTGTATCACTGTGGGTACTAGCGATGCTCTCTGGTTCTGATTGGCTTAAGAGTAATGCTTGTGATGTTTAACTGTATTTGTTTTCCTGATGCTATTAGCAAACTTGATTTCTTTTTAAAAAATGTTATATTATGTTATGTACTGTCAAGCCATTTCTGAATTACGGCAACTGCAATAGGGTTTTTGAGGAATATGAGATTTTCAAAGGATGGTTAATCTTCACACAAACACACACTGTGAGTTTCTATGGTTGAGCATGTAGGATATGGATGATTTAAACAGGCAAACAAACATAAACCTAACCAGGCAAACAAAGGTTCAAAGGTATATAGGTGGCCTCCCTCCTGTGCCTCCTAGGAGAAGAGCCAGCCCCATGTCCCCCCTCAGAAGAAGGGAATGATAAACCACTAGAAATCCTTGGGAATGGTTGCCATAAGTAGAAACTGACTTGCTGGAACAAAGTTCTTTTTATTATTACCGGTATTATTATATATATGAACATAAACAGCTTAATGAACCCAGATAAATGTAGGGAAATAGATCATATAGATAACGTCAATGCTTTCATGATGTACATAAGACTAGGACAAGATTTAGGAACAGTAATATTGATGAATTGCTGGTTTTTTTTTTTTTTTTTTTTTTTTTTTTTAAAAACTAGATGGGGAAAAAGAGTCAGGTGAAAGCCAACAAGACAATTTGAGGGGTGCAGGGCTATCCCTCTGGCTATCAAAGTTAGAGGGATATTTTTATTGCCCTTAAGCCCTGTTGTTCTGAGCTCTCCGCCTTAACATGGGCTCAACAACCTGTAAATCAGTTTCCAAAAACGACTGGCAGCAGTCTAAAATCATTCTGTCCAAATTTGAACATTCAAGCCAGCAATTTGGGAAAACCAGATGCTGGAGGTCTCAACCCTTCTTCCTAACTCTAAAGATGGGTCTCTCTCATTCTCACGCCATCCCCTCCCAAGGAGCTGGCTTGAAAGAGTTACTCGTCCAGGGGGGTCATATTTCCTCTGTTTCTCTGGCAGAGAAGAAGAGTTCCCAGGAAGAGAGAGAGAGAGAGAGAGAGAGAGAGAGATGGGGAGGGATAGATAGTGAGAGTGAGTGTGTGTCAGAGAGGAAAGGAATGTAAAACTCCAGGTCCCAACTATTTTCGTCTTCGCCATCCCCAGGCCCTCCAGCTTTAATTTGAACATATGCACTTCTTCAGGTTTGTTCCTGGGAAGGCTGCAGCCGTGGAGCGTTCTTCTCCACAGAACCGCAAGGAAGGAAGGCGGGAAAGAACAAGGGCACCTCCACCTGCCGTTGCCCGGCCCTCGTTGAACTCCCCTTGGATTGGAGGCCTCCTCCCCCCCGGGGGAATCTGGAACTGCCGAGTCAGACGCTCGCACGCTCGCCGGCGGCGAGAGGCCCGTCCTCTCCCGCCGTGTGTGGAGCGGAGGGGAGATGATTCTGCCGCGCTGGCTCCCATTCCGGGCCATTTCTGGCTTCCCTGCTCGGGTGCCTGCCTGCTCGTGTGCCTGCCTTTATGGCGTTTGTCTCTTCCCCCCTCCCCCGGCCCAGGAGCACGACAGACTGGGACGGGGTGGTGGTGGTGGGAAACAAACACCATTAAGCAGAAAGATACTGTATAGGGGTGCGATTGGATGAGGGGAATAAAGGATTTTCCGTAGTCGGTCAGGGCCAGCTCTACCATTAGCCAGGGGGAGGTGGCGGCCTTTGGGACATTATTCTGAGCTAAAAGAGCTGGAAACTCAATTAGTATAGAGGTCATTAGATTGCTGTGTTTGGGAATACGTACAGTAATAGAATAATGGAGTCGGCCAACGCCAATAAGGCTATCCAGTCCAACCTGCCCCCCCGCTGGCTTAGTGTTGAA